ATAACAGCTTATCATCACATTTTTAATTTCCAGTCACTAACACGAGTTTTCTTTCTTTCCTTCTGTTATTCTTTACTTTCAGAAGTTGCCACTTCCTGAGGCTGTTAGTGAAAAATTATGAGGAACTACAAACAGAAAACATGGTTTCATGGGAGTTAAATGAGTTTAGCAGCTAACAAGAAAAGAACTATAAAAGAGAGGTTTCAGAGTAGCAGCCGTGTTAGTCTGTATCCGCAAAAAGAAGAACAGGAGTACTTGTGGCACCTTAGATTTAAAATTAAAACTTAAAATTTGTTAGTCTCTAAGGTGCCACAAGTACTCCTGTTCTTTTTATAAAAGAGAGAAAATTCTGCAGCAATAATGCCCCCTTATTTCAGCAGCACATCAGGGCTTAATTCTGTGTGAGAGAGGGGGAAGATTCAGGACTTTTGTCCATGGAATGTAGAAATGGGAAGGAGTAGCTCCCCTCTTTCACTTGGTTCTATCTTCCTTCCCCCTGCTTCTACAGGAAAAGAGACTGCCATGTCTTTCTTTCCCCACCACCGGAGCTGAAGAGCTGGCTGATACTGTAACAGTAATGATACAGGGCACTAAGAGCTGAGGAGAGTCACAGTAACTCAGATTGAGCAATCACCGCAAGATCATTTAGTCCTGAAAATAACGTGGGTGCCAGGAACGTTGGTGCTGGGAGAATCAATGGGTTCGGCACTGGAGTTGAGGAGCACGTGTCATCAGCACTGTGTGAGGTGATGTCAGTACCAAGAGATTGGGATCAGTGAAGTGCGGAACATTGTCTCAAAGGCTACCAAGTGTGCTCAGTGATGGGTTTTTGCCAAGGTGACGGAGGGACTCAATTTAGACCTTTAGGCTGAGTAGTGAGGAGCTTTATGCCCCATTTTAATAGGTTCCATTAAGGGTAACCTCGGCCTGCACTCGCTGTGGAAATAACATTCATTCCTACCCCTTTCAGATAACTGAGTGGAGGAGGACTTAGCTTCCCTACTGCTCTGATTGTTGAAGGGTCTGAACTTTTTGATGAATTGTGAGCCTTGGAGTCTTGGATCTGAGCTGCCACTTCCAGGAGCACTAACTGTGGAAACCTGGTTAACCTGTTCAGCCCTCGCTGGAGTGTTTTCTCTGGTTCTGAGGAGGCTCCCATAGAGCGCTCCTATCTTTTGTGTCCTCCTGGAGAAGGAATGACACATTGAGCATTTATCAGGCATGTGCCTTACATGAAATAGCTGCATCACAGGAGGGACAAGTTTTGAGCCCCTGGGACTTTGTTTTAGCCTGCTTTGCCCTTTATGCCTTCCGATGGAAGGGGGAGATACAATGGCACCTAGGGCACAGGATTGGCCTCAATGGACACTTCTCTGGCCAAAAGAATTTGGGGAGCATGCACACCAGAAGTGGAATACACATGCACAGTCACTCAAAGAAGAAAAGACGAATAATTACTTTCCATTTAAGAAATTCCATTAAATTATTCCATTTAAGAAATCTAATTACAACATAAACAATTAAAGGCTGGAGATGCTTGTATGGCCCCAGCAACCTTTAACTCCAACATGGAACTTTTTTTAAATACAGTCATTTAAAAAAATTGCTATAAATTACGTTTACATTAGAAATTAAATGCAAAGTTATATGAAACAGACATTTATACAATGGTACTGGTTTTTGGATGTGGCTCTACTGTGACATCAGTTAATAATTAGCAACCCTTTCTTTATTGCAGATATTAATTTAACCAGTTTGTGGAAAGTATAGTTTGGAACAAAATTATAATGGAAAAGCACAGTCTATGCAGAAAATGAACATATAATAGCCAGAAGGTGGTGCTAGAGATCCAACTTTTCAAAGCTAAGGATGCTGATTAAAAGATGATAAAAGGTTACATTTATTTTTATATTTTGTCTTGAGCAATGTTTCTGTGTACTCAAAAAGAAGAAAAACAATCTATTTTATATGTGTTCTGTTATGATTTTTGAAAAAAAATCTCAGAAAAAAATTCCTTTCCAGCTCCTCCTCATTTTCTTTTTTCTATTGATTTCTGAGTATAGTTCCATTAAATTTTCTGACTCAGTTTTCCTTCCCTTCTGCTTGTATTCTTTTCTAGAAAAATACTTGATTTAGCTTACTGGATGTAACTTGAATGATGTTAAGAAATTAACAGAATCACAGTATCCTGAAACTTTATAGATGCTGGTACACACAATGTTGTGCCACAATGTGCTATTTACATTACTTTCATAAGCTATAGGAAAATTTCTTACTAAAAAGAAATTAAACATAATTGGTAGGGGGAATGTTATGGTCAATCCCCTATAAGACTATTTTTAAAAAGGAAGTTAAGATTACTATTTTGATGGTTTCAGGGTAGCAGCCGTGTTAGTCTGTATCCTCAAAAAGAACAGGAGTACTTGTGGCACCTCTATATGCATCCGAAGAAGTGGGTTGTAGCCCACGAAAGCTTATGCTCTAATAAATTTGTTAGTCTCTAAGGTGCCACAAGTACTCCTGTTCTTTTTATTTTGATGGTGGAATTTCATCATCATTTTAGGAAGGAATAGGCACTCAATTCGCTTGTAAATCCAGAAACATACATAGACCAATTTGGTGTCTAAACACTTTAAATAATATGACTGATACCAGAGAATTCTCTAAATCTGAAATAATTAGAAACAGAAATACATCATATATCCATCAATTTAGGAGTCCAGGTAGACCAATTTATACACAAGACAAAGTTGTCCTATTCACATTGAGGTGACTGATTGTAATCTCGAATAGCTTCTGACATGTAACATGCAACAGTGTATAAAGATACACAGGTAAGGCACCCAAACAAAATTAACTCTGTCCTACAATGATGTCACACGGGACAGAAAAATAAAACATCTTTAAAAATTTGTTTCATCTACGCAGCCTGAGGCAACAAACGCTAAAATGACTTAATCTTCATCATTATGGTTATTGCTTAGGGTCACAATATGGTAGAGTTAAGGGTGTTTGTGTGATTTAACTCATTTTTCACCTTAATGTATTTAGATTTCTATTAAGTGTAACCATTTTGAATTTCCTGGGTTTATGCATGCTTGGCTTTGGGTTAATTACAACATCCTTGTAATGTTTTTACTTGTAAATTACTGACACATACTCTTCACCTTATATCCATCTTAATTATTTTGGGTGGTACTGTTGGGATTTTTTTGTTTGTTTGTTTTGTCTAAAAATTATGCAGAACATGTTTTAATTTTTCATCAATCCAAAAACTTCCAAGGATCTTGCTGAGTGAATAACTGTGAAGGTTACTGATGAAGGAAATTTATGAAAGCTGGAATATAGCTCCTAGGTTGCCAATATGACTCATATGAACTTGCTGAAAAATTCTACACTTGTTCGTAAAACGCTTTATTTATGAAACCTGAAATAATTCATTGATACGGAGAATTATCAGCATGACAAAAAGCACAGGGTGCAAAGCTCCTCCACACAAGCTCAGGATGAACATAATGCTAGACATAAAAACACTGAGATACACAGTGCACAGACCTAGATATTTATTATACCTTAGGATGTAACTACTTACTAGATGACTTATGAATATTTTTCTCTGGTTCAGCATAATGCAGCATTTTGGCTCGCTAGATATTAATTTACCTTTAGGAAACAATTACAAAAAGCTCAGATTTTAGAGACAATGATTAGAGTAGTCCTGCAAAGATACAGCTGTCCTACAAAAGGGGCATGTCTTGACTATGGTACACTTTATATGCTATTTTATTAAAGTATCCAAGTTAAGTTCATATGAAAATAAATATTGTGTGACCACAAGGGGGCAAAATGAACAGAAAGCAATAAACTACCATGATGACTAAACAACAGGAAACCTACCCAGCACATGTAAATAAGGGATCAGTGAAACATAAGGGAAATGCAAATTTTGAGTACATCCTGTACCTTGCAATAGTAACAAAAGCAGATCCTGTAACAACAACATACAACATTTGCAGGTCTGTCTGCCTACTAAAATATACAAGTATACCGGACAGACTGACAGACCTGCTCAAGTCTTCCTCTAGTGGCTACATTCTACAAAGGATAGAGTACCCGATACCTAAACTGTACTATTAACAAGAGTCAATATTTTATGGGTTATAGATAATATTTTTTGTAATACAGTGCAATATTTAAATAAAACCATACCTTTTTGAATGGCATAAAATTATATCATGAAAAACCCACTTCTGATATAAAATAAACTGTCATTGAAATTTACTTTCCATTCTTTGAAAACACTTTTAAAAGAACAAAAATAGCACTCCATTTCAGTTTTACATTTTCTTATCAAAAAGAAAGGCACTTACCCTGAAAAGTAATCCTGCCAAGCTTTGAGCAAACATGTCCTTTACTTGGTTATCCTTCGGCTTCTGCATGACACCTTCTGTTATTCGCAGGAGTATTTGTAACATCTGTTCCCTGGTACCAAAATAAAACCTCACATTTCAATTACAAGTTTTATTAATCTTACTTGTTCAGTTTCTAGATATGAAAACCACTCTTAATTCATTGATAAAGTCTCTCAAACTGAAAATGTGACAATACTCAAAAACACTTTGTAAGTCACCTTTAAGACAACCTTATCTGTATGTGGAGACTTATGTTGAGGATAATCACTTTTGAAGCACCTCACAGAGGAAAAAAAAACAAACTTTCAATTTTAGAGGAAGCCAAGTCAGGAGTGGAAGTAACAGCCTGGTCCCCAAAGTCAAGGTCGAGAAAGTATGAAATCACTATCCCCAAATATTTCCAAGGCACAGCTCATTGTGAGCACAGGGAGAATTGAATGTACTGAAGGATGATAACTCTTTATTATACACTAAGGACATTACTAGGCATTGAAACTAAACGTTTCCATAAGCTGACAAAAATGTGACAAAAACTACAGAGTGATAGATCAGTGGAGCTGGTAGCAGCGATTAAGGTTGCCTGACTCTTTCCATTATAAGACCCCCTTTTCAATTGCTTATAACTTTGCCAAACTTCAGGGAAACTTTTTGGGAAAATGGTTGGGGAAAATATATTGTTTTGCAGACATTACAAAATTCTTGAGACCTGTTCTTTGAGCAGCTCTCGCTCCTCATGCTTTGGAGCAAGGAACTTGAAATCTGGCCGGGGTAGCCTGTGTGTCAAAGATGTACCTTTTACTATTCCAATGAAAATCGGCCCAAATATGTCCAAGTTATAGGACTTTGATCAATCAGTTTCCACATACTCAGTAGACTTGTTAGAGGTTTGCAGGCAAAATCTCTGAAGATGCCCCAGCCCCACAAAGTGACTGAGCATACTCCATCCTCTCACAGCTTAGTGCTGACCAGACTGCACATGCAATCTGGGCCAGGGACCAGACCCAAGAGCAGAGACCCTCCTTCTCAACGACCCCTTGCTGGCATCTAAGCAACGTAGAGGAGGTAGAAATCTGAGTCAAATGTTGAGGGACAAAAACTGAACCAGGGGGGAAGGACAGGAGTAGATTGGGACAAGGAATCTGGTGAGACTGTATCATGACAAAGCACACACACATGAAGGGGCGGAATAAGGTTGCACATCAATTCTGGCATTTCCTAATTTTTGAGTGCTTGATTTCGCAATTGGCTGAGTGAAGCAAGGTCTTACACTCAACTCAATGGCATTCCTATCTGTCTGCCTATAATGCAATAACTTTTGAATACAGGGTCCAATCAATTCCAAAATTTAAGGGAATGTTCTAGGTATCGATGGCTATAACCCTATTGATTTGATGAAAATTGGAAAAGCCAAAAGGGGGAAATGGGGACACATCACACATGGAGCTCCTGTCATCTGGTTAGCAGAGCCAGCAGCTTCAACCACCTTTATGCACGTCTACAGATCAAAGAACCAGTTCATGACAGACATTAACACATTCCAGCACCCCCCCATTTTAGCTCTGCCCATCTTCCCAATACAGATTTAAACCCTGAAAGATTTCTCTCCCAGACTGTAAAGAAAAGAAATAAGAATGAGGGTGAGGTGACAGGATGGTAGTACACACAGAGGGGGGAAAAGGGGGCAGAGTCCCTAGCATGGGGAGCAGAGCACCTCACGTGGTGGTGTGAATTGGGGGATGGGGAAAGTCAGATACATACAGACCATTACAGGTGTGGGGGTAATGTGGGGTATACTGAGACCCTGACATGAGGGAGGGGTTGCTAGGTATTCCAGAAATAGAGTGAGATGGGAGGGTAGTGGCACAACAGGAGCTTTTGGAGGGGAGGGGGAATGGAAGGATGCACTTGGCCTAGAGAAGCAACAAAGTGTGTGACCCTCCAGTAATGTTCTTTTACCAATTTTGTGTGTGTAAAGTTTTACATATATTGACAAACAAAATTAGTCCAATTAGCATTAGAAAGACAAACGTGTTTATTTTAAATTCCACTGATTGATTAAATGTACAGTTAGGTGCATGTGTGCACAAACCCATGCAAACATGCACACATTTGCATGTATTTAGTGATTATAAAGCATCTGGCAGCCCTAGCTATCCACAGAATGTGTATAGTAAGAAAAGTTTCTTAAATTAGTTTTTAACTTATCTATACTAAGCATTTCAAGATTTGAATAAACTGTATTATTAAAAGTTGAAAATTTAGTTTGAACAAGAATCAAATTTGAGCTAAGAACAGTAAAACGGAAGGTTACATGAGCAAAACCTTTAAACAAAAATCTCTTACATTCAGTATTTTAGGAATCTTCCCCCCAGTGGAATCATGAACCTTCTTACAGAATAGGTACAATCTTATCATACTTTTTACAAAGGTACAAAAAGAAACATTAAAGAACCAAAATGTTATGGAAATTCCTTTATCTTTTTTCAATTATTCAGTCTTAAAATTCTAGCGGCTGTTATACTATTAATTAATTTAGTAAAACTTACCATGTCTTTTTATTCATTGAAAGTTCCATTATCATGTGCCTAAAAATACTCAAAACTGCTTTGCAAGCATCAACTTGTTCCTTCAGGAGAGCAGGGACTTCGGCACATGGTTCCAATAAAAAAACATTTGCGGAGTTCGTCAAAAACACCTTGAAAACAAAGCATTTTAATTAGGAAAAAATAAGTTTATACACTATCAAACAAGACCAACGGTTAACTTTCAAAACAAACATTTTTTCCTCTTCTAACCAAGCCCTTATCTTTCCTTAAAGAAGGATATGTAATATTATCTAGCACACTATTTTCTTTAAGTTCTCCCACACCATTTAAAAGAAGAGAGTCATGTTATATTTACTATTATAGAAAAAATATAACATATTCTTGATCTTTTAGATGCTTGTCTTTTCCATGCTACCCCATGGGGGTATTCTTCCCCTCCCAACCCATTTGCTAATTATCCATATTTAAACAATGGCCACCCATATTTTTGATCATTTACATTCAGCACCAGCAAATGTACAGATTTCTGAGTAATTCCCAACTCCACAGGTATAGAAACAGTGTCTAACTGTCTAGCGTTCTAACGTCTCTAGAACTGGTGTCTGGTTCTGCAAGATAGGAACACACAGTTAATATGAATTTTTTTAAAAAAGAAAGAGAAGTCCAATTGTTCACAAGGTAATCCATGAAAATGCTCAACTCCTCTAACAATTGCTTTCTGACATCTGAGAACACAAACAAAAGGAGCTTTATCCAAGCTCTCCTTCAAAAAAAAAAAATCTGGAATTATTGTTTACATGAACCAGAACTCCATTTTTGCACAGCAAGAGAAGGTACACGGTGGTTTCTGGCATGTAAATGCATTCTGACCACTTTAATTGAGTGTCCTCTTTTAGGGTCCAATCCAACATCTGTAAGGTTAATGAAAGGACTCCCACTGACCTTAATTTAAGTTGGAGGGCCATTAACTAGGATCATTTTCTCAAAACACAGCCATCAAAGACAGCATTTTGAAACTGGAATGACAGCATATTAGCAGAAAAGGTCTTTCATCACAGACTACTTAAGCAGGTCATTTATTGCTAGGTATACAGAATGGGACCCCAGAAAGTCCCAAAGGCTAACCCAGAGTAATTAGGGTTACTGTACATTTAGCCATTTTTTTTAATGGAGTTCAAAAGAAAGGAGATGATGAAGAAACTGCATAAACCAAATTATGTTTTCCCTTGAAAAACAAAATATAGCTCCAGGGACTACAAATCTTTAGTTTGGATTAAAAACTGGGATAAATTGCATTACTCATATATGACACAGTCTCTTTTGTGTCCCTTACATTTTGCAACACCTAAGAACAAACTCTCTGTTGAGCTGCTTTACTACTGTAGTGAATTTTACCTGCTCAGTTAGTTTGCTGTCGTGCTCAGAATGTCACCTCCTGATTGTTGATATTGCAAGTAGATTTGTCTTTAAATTCTAGATAGCTAGCTCTGTGACCTTCCTCTGACATATTTGTTTCTTGGCTGATCATCTTGACTTATATATACTAGTAATATTAATCTGCCTGACTGAATTTTATGCTTTCCCTATCAAGTATTTCTGCAAAGAGATAAGAAAAAAAGTTCATATTTTGATCAACAGATACTTCCTTTCTATGGGTATTACAAGGTGTCCAGTTCATAGCTACTACTTCTGCTGATCCTACCTATATGATCCCTAAGCTGTACAAGTGACCGAACACTATAATCTAATAAAAGCTGCGTAACTTCAGTTATCTGGTCAGATATGCAGACTGAAAAGGGAGAGACTCAGATCAGCTGAAGTGAGCACAGTGCAGTTGCATGCCCCAAAACAATTCAGGCTGTAGAGAGAAAATAATAAAACTTTCTCTCAGCTATTTGGGCTACATGAAAGTTATGTCCTATGCTGCTTATCATGCTAAATACTAGATAATATCCTTAAAATCACCAGGATTCTACTGTTCACGTCCTCTGAATAATCAGTAATGATATATGTTTCCTATCTGCTGGGATGGAGAGTCCAGCTGTTTGGAATATAGTGGGAGACCAATATAAAAACAACACTTTCTGAAGGGCGGGATTTTTGGGGGAAGCAAACTTACACACCACACATTTCAATTTCTTAATATATAGTATGACTAATTTTTACTTGTGTACATGGTTCAGAATTATAAAGTGATTCTATATAATCTCTGGCTTAATTATTAAATAACATTTAAGGAAACATCAAAAACTAACTGAAAAAGTCAACTTGACAAAAAAGAAACTAGGCTTCTTTCATACTTACAGCAGCAATAAACAAACATGGATCTACACAAAAGCATATTTTGTCACTTTTCAGTATAAATTCACACTTTAAACTTCACTTTTTTTGTTTATTTTATCACCAGAACCCTCTAAAATAATCTC